TTTTCCACAGATCCTCCTGAATCCGTAGAAATTGTCTGTACAGACTTGTTGGGTCCTTTAACTCAAGGAACGCCCCTGAAATGTCAGGGTACAAAACCAGCTCTCTCGAGCATTCAGGCTGGCCCCCAGCTTTGTGAAAACCAAGGAGATTTTCTGTCCTTGAAGCAAAGTGTTACACATCCTACTAAGGAGTCAAGATCTTTCCTAGTGTGTGTGGGCAGTGACATCAGAGAGGGAGGGACCTCTCTCTGGGTGTCTAAGATGAGATTTGATCTTGCCCAGGGAAAAGATGGCTCTCCATAGGAACAGAATGAAATGGCCCCAAGAGGATATGGCGCCATCTAGTGGTGGTGAATGACAGTTCAGCCCACCTTGAGTTAAAAAAAAAAAGAAAAAGAAAAAGAAAAAGAAAAAGCAATCTTGTACCTGCATCTAGTTTTCTGTAGTAGAAACATTTCTGTCTGAAGAAAGTGGAGGATCTCCTAGGTGCCCTGTGTTTCTCTGCTTCAGGAAGATGACTTTCTTTTGTTTTTAAATTTTTACTTTATTTTTAAATATATATGTATATATTAGTATATTAAATGTGTGTGTGTGTGTGTGTGTGTGTGTGTGTGTGCACAAGTGCCATGATACACAAGAGGAGGTCAGAGGACAACTGGAAGTCAGTTCTCTCCCTCTACCATGTGAGACCCTGGGATTCAAGTCTGGTGGTCAGGCTCAGCAGCTCCCCCTTACCCCCAGGTCACCGTACTGGCCCCGACACATATTCCTAACACCTTGTAAAAGTGACGTCCCTTTCCCCATGGCTCACCACTTCAGGCGAACCCCGCCTTGTCTCTGGACAGAACCTTGTGGGGGGTAGCTAGAACTAGCAGTGCAGAGCAACCCCCAAATGGAAGAAGGTACCCAGACGCCCTTCTCATGTAACACTTCCCTTCTGCCCACTGGATGAAGGGTTCTGCTTGAAGACAGAGCAGCCAATGACCTCAGGAACATCTGAGTATCTCTCAAGCCCACTGTCAGTAAGATTCAAAGGCTGTTCACATGTGTTTATTTTATAATTAATGAGTGGGTTAGTACTAAGGGCAAAGCTGCTGTCCCATTGACTTTGGATACTGATCACATTCACTTGAAATATCGGACCAGGACCATCACAAACCTCCAGCAAGAGCTCACAAGCGCCAGTGATGGACATGTGAGGTCAGGCCCAAAGACCTGTCCTTTGCGGGTGTTGTATGCACGGCACCTTTATGGGACAGTCATGGCCGAGAGGTGAAACCCAGGGCTGCCAAGCAGGAGTGCAGGTGTGGGATGACGCTGGTGGGTAACCTCAAGGCTTGCTGTCTTGGCACTCCACAGAAAGACCTAGACACTTTCCAGCAGGAAGTAGCAACGTAGGCACACAAGAACAGAAAGAAAGCAGAATGGAGCAGGTGTGGTGGTGTGCACCTATAATCCCAGCCCTTGGAGGACAGAGCCAGGGGCTCATCAACCATGGTTGGGCTACACAGTGAGTCCGAGGCCTGTCCTCATTTTGTTTATATTACTGTGATAATACACCATGACCAAAATCGCCTTAGAGGAGAAAAGGCCGACTAAGCCAACAGTTCCGGGTTACAGTCCATCATGTGGAGAAGTCAAGGCTACAGGCACTTGAGGGAGCTGGTTGCACCCAAATTAAGAGCAGGGAGAGAAATGAATGCATACATACTCCCTTGCTTGATTATGCTCAGTGAGATTTCTTCACGCTCCAGTGTAGATGATGCCCCATCTCTTCCCAGATGGTTCTAGGTTGTGTCAAGTTCACAAAACTAACCACCACATGCCCAGTCTGGGTCATGTAACAAGCCCCTGACCTTCATTTTCATGTGTGTATGTTTGTGTGTAAAAATGCCAAAAGTCAATGTCAGATGCTTTCCTATAACCCCCTCCAGGGTAATCTGAGGCTCACCATTTTGAATTTGCTGACAGGCTAGTGAGTCCCTGAGATTATTTGTGTCTATTTCCCCCTGCTCCCTGACTGGAGTTACAGATGCACCTGTCCTCTAAGTGTGATGCTAAACATCTAGATTGTTATATCCCAAACCTCAAATCTAAGGGCTTCTGTTGAATGCATACCACTTTCTCACCATCATCAAATCAACAAGTCCTAAGCTGGACTGTTGTAAGTCAGGAATCACTTGGATTTGAGTTCCTTGAAAGTGGTGGAGTATTAGAGAAATTATTTTGGCCACTCCA